GTGAGAAAAGGGTTGGCTTTTACTGTTGGCGACTGTTTCTCATCAATCGATTCCGTGGTTACGAAGTATGCATTCAATTACTATTATATCTGGTGCTGTAAAACAAAACCAGTGTTTGCGAGTGAATAGCATTTTGATTGCTTTGGTGCACTCGCAGGCAATTAAATGGTTTTTATTTAATAGACCTTGTACAATATTTGTTTTGTTTTCCAGAAACAGTTATCAAAATTAAGTATATTTTTGTTAATTAATTCATTTTATTGCAGATCTTATCCATGATTGCCATTACATTCATGAAGATTATACAGATTTCAAAATAACATTTTAAGAAACTATAAATTAATCAATAAACAAAATACCTAGCACACGTACGTTGACTAAACTGTCATAAATTAACTAGGACTAATTTCATAACTTATATTAATTTATTATCTATTAGTTTTATGTTATATTTTATTCCAAGTATTTATTAGTATACTTAACATAATTATTTAAACATATTCCACTAAAATAATAGCCTCTTATATAAACTAAAACTATATGTTAAACTTTCATAGAGTGATAGAAATATAAATAGGAGAGAAAGACAGAGAAGTATATATGAGCTAGGGACAACCATAGTAACGTTAGCTATTTTTATTAATACTTTAAAATCCAGTAATATTTTAACCTGATAAGTTATAATACTACTCGTTTACCTTAAACCTATGAATATTTTATGAATAATTGACTTTTGGATAAAATTAATAATTAGAAATAATAAATATAAAATAGCTAGCTAAATAAGCATGATAATTTAAACTGTAATATTTAAAGTAAGATTTAATTGATATTTATGAAATGTTTAATTATATTATTAATTGGGCCTAGGTTTTAGACCACAATTATATATTAAACTTTTTTTTGTAAATATTTACCCTTTGGTTTCCGGACTTAATTATTTTGTTATATTGTATGCAAAAATGTAAGTTTAGTTGACTTTTATATTTATGATAATTGCTGATCTAAATTTAGATTTATATTTAGATTTAAAGATAATAAATTAAAAATTTTAAGCTTAATAATTAAAACTGTAATGTTGAACATAACATTAGTTAGCTATAATTGAATTGTTTAATTATACCAATAATGGGAGCCAGACAACTTTTAAAATTTATTTATTAAACATTTTCTAATTTTAAAATATAATATTATAAAAATTGTAACTAATAAAAATGGCACAAATTAATAAAATTACCCCCATAATTATATTAACTATATACTGGCCAATTTACCTATGAAATAGATTTTTCATATATTCGGTAAAACGTTGGCGGATATTTTCCCATATATTTTAGTAATTTGTGCAAGGCAAAATCTGGTATTGAGTTCAATTGGTTACCACAATCAAGTTTAATAGTGTTGTTCAGTACTATGGACATGGACCTGGTGATATCCGTGGACTTATCTTAGCCAGTTTCTTACATTCCGGTGTAAGGACTGTATCACTTACTTGTTAGATATACTGTGTAAAAAGTAAATGTGCTAGACCTTTATGTACATAAAAATAAAATTTAAATACAATTAAATCGATCACTTTTCATCAAAATATTCAAATGTTTAATATATTATTTTTAAATACTAACTAGCTCTTTTCAAAATAAATACTCTTTAGTTAGTCTGTATTTATTAAATAAAATGTGCGCTAAATATTAAATTTGTATTTAAAGTGTTGCTCTTGTTCAATTTAGACACATTAAGACAAACGAGTCAACCGTTTTTGAAACAAATTTTATGAGATTTTTTATTAGTTAAACAAAAAGACATTTTGCACCAGAATTACACGCAATGTTTAATTGGATTTTAAATGAGCGGATGTTAAATGTGACGGAAGGGTATGTTTATGGAAAGGGATTACTCAGATATGATGTAAATTCACGTCTCATTTAGATATTGAGCGGAATTTATGACACTATTTACGGCAATACGAGTGAATTGATTGCATATCTGTTGTTATAATAACACAATCTATTTGTTTATCAATTAACATAAAATAATTATTTTAAATATAAATTCAATTTTGTTTTCAATTTGAAAATGTGCTCAATTTTGGAGAAATTTAAAATTTGTGATAAAATCGACTCAAATATGAAACAAAATATTAAATTATTTCATGTTTTTAAATATCTGTTTCGGGATGAATTAGATCACAATATTCTGTTCGTAACCACCGATGATATGGTGTATGGATTGGGAGATAATAATTATGGATGTCTTGGATTGGGTCACGACGAGTCCGTACATTCACCACAACTTATACCAGAATTATGTCATCAAAACATTCACACATTTATTATTGGATATGACTTTGTATTGGCTATGAATAGTGTGAACCATATCTATAGTTGGGGTCACAATATATGGGGACAGTTGGGTAGAGATGTGACACGATTTGGGGTTTATTCAAAACCCGAGAGAATATCGTATTTCGACGTCAAAGATGTCCAACAAATCAGTTGTGGTTCCCATCACTCACTGGCCCTCACATCAGATGGACGGGTGTATGGGTGGGGAGATAATAGTGAGGGACAGGTTGGTTGTGGGCACCAAAGTAATGATAGTATTAGTGAACCAATTCTAATACAATTCGCAAATAATCCCAAAATACAAACCATTTATTGTGATAATTGGTGTTCATTTGCTATCACTTGTTGCGGACTTGTGTTCAGTTGGGGTTACAATAGTGACCATAAATTGGGACACAATATAGTGAACAGAGGTAACGTAAATATCTTTATTCCGAAACTCAAAACTACAGTAAATGACATCAAAACTATGACATCATCACTAGTTATTACTTATTTTTTATCAAACAGTGGTTTATTATATTATTGTGGAAATTATTTTTCATACGGTAAATATATTACTGTAGAGATACCAGAACAATTGGAAACCAGTAATTATTTTATAGATTTAACACAAATTGACTCGAATTATGGTTTTGATACTCAGACCACAGTTGTGTTGACAAACAGCAAGTTATATGAAATACGCGGAAATCAATTGATTGAAACAAAGTATAATAATTATTTTGATTTCTACGCCAATGAACACCAAATCACATACAAAACATATAACATTGACATTTGTTATTATGAATATCTGTTTAATGAATGCTATGATAAAACATTTTATGAGTTGTCGGTCATAGGATCGGGTGGTTTTGGGACAGTATTGCGAGTGAAACACAAATTTGATGGACAGGTATATGCCGTCAAGCGAATTGAATTTAATGGTAATTTAAAATTATAAATAAAACGCTGTATATTAAAACTGATAATATTAAATAAATTACAGTAGATTATAAACAAAATCTTTTCAAGTATCATGGTCATAAGTTATGACACGTAACTAGTATATCCAATATATATGTAACTTAAAAAACTGTTTATCTCAAGAGTTAATTTTTTTAATTAGATCATTAAAATAATTTAATTGAAAAATAATTTTTAATTTACTTTTATATTAATATTTAGATTTTAATGAAAATGAAGTGCAAAATCTAGTGAATGTTAGATCAGAATATGTGGTCAAATATTACCACTCATGGCGTGAACCGGAATATGGATTCATTCAAATGGAGTTCTGTTCACAGAATTTAACGAATATTCTTAAAATCAAAAACAATGCATTTGAGAGACAATCGGGAGATCCCATGGATTGCATCGAGTATTTCATTTCGTGTGAAATATTTCGACAGATCTTAGAAAGCGTTAAATATTTACATGAATTGAATCCACAGATCATTCACAGAGACCTCAAACCCGACAATATATTGATTGCACACAAAGTAAGGAACGACAGGTTTTTGAAGTTATGTGACTTCGGTTTGGCTACAGTTCACGACAAACGCATTCATTACTTAACACAACATAAACATACGGCAGATATCGGGGACATGAGATATCAAGCACCAGAAGTTGGTCAGGGTAGAAAATATGGGCATAAATCAGATATTTATAGTCTGGCACTAATAGGTGGTGAGATATTTGACGTGGATGTGCTGCTTGTTGAACCACAAAGGTATAGACAATCTAAACATTTATAACATGATTTCCAAACTACACAATAATTTTATTAAAACTTTATGTAAATATAGTTCGCAAACATATTCACCTAATAATAAAACTTTAAACTCATCAGTGTCTAAATTGTACAAAATATTTTCGAAAATGATTTTACCAAATTGGACTAAACGTCCGGAAAGTAGTGAAGTGTTACACAAATATAACGAGTGGTCTATGGATACGAATATTGTGGCAAAATATATAGAATTTAACGAAACGTTAAATAAACTGAAATCCAATGAAAACCAGTTTTTCTATCAATTCTTGACAACTGTTAGCACACGAGATGTGAAACGACTTTCATTGACACAAAGACTACGAAAAAGTTTGAATTTATTTTAAACACAATTTGTTTTAAAATTAATATGCAACATTAAATAAATTGTTACATACAGTAGCTTATGACATGGATAATAATTCCTATAATAATTAACTATTTTATATAAAAATAATTTCTAATTCATTTTACTAGTAATAAATAAAAATGCGAAACATGTCAAGTTAATTATCATTAAATGTACATTTACTTTCGTAATCAATATTCCATTATTATAAATGAACACTAATTGATATTATAGATGGTAATTATAATTATAATAGTTATAAAAATTGTAAAATAACACAAATTAATAAAGTTACACTTATAGTATTATAATTTTAATAACTAACTAGCATTAACTAATGCTCGTATTAAATAGATGGATAAATTTATAATCTTTTAAATTAAATTTAAAAGTATTTTTATTTATATTTTATAATTATTTTTAAGCATGTATTACATTGTTCTGACAACTTTATCACATAATAATTATTTAGCATGTTTACGATTAAACAATGATATTATTAAAAAATAAAAATCAGTAAAAAAAATACTAATAGAATAGGTATTAAAGTTAATTAGTTTCAAGGTAATTATACAGTGATATCATCATCACCCAGGTCACCGAATATGGTTATTAGTGGCGATATAAATGACATTGGTCGATCGGTGTCAGTCATATTGATTTCCGGTATATTATTGATTACTTTAACGCACCTATCGCTGGCTATAAAATAAATCAAAATTATTAAAATTTTAAATATTTATCTTGGTAATTATCTCACATTCGGGGTATTCATAACACATGATGTCCATTAGTTCGCCAAATATTTCCGTAGCCCAACGGGCCATATAGTCAATGGTACGGGGAGTGCATACCTTTACCTCCTCGGCCTCCGATATGAAACACTGACGTAATTGATTGAATGCGCTGTAAATGTGGATTAAAAATTAAATTAAAAATTGTATATTGCCTACTTTAATTAATTTTAGACTGACTTATAATAAATTTAATATAAACTGTAAATTTAAAACAAACATTAAGTATTTATAATTTAAATATACAATAAATATATTAAAGGAGTAGATGGTAACGAAGTTTTTTTTAACAATATTAAAAATTATCAATGTCAAGGTTAAATCAATTTATCAATATAGCCAGTGGCAAAAATTAAAATAACAAAAATTAATACCGTATTATAATTTTCATTGTCTCTAGTCGTATATAAAATAATTTCAACCTTGATACAATTTTATATATTTTAACTAACAATAGATTAAATGTTTTGATTTAAATATAATAAATTACCCACCAACAAACCATGGGTATACGTTGCTTTTGGATAACCTGTTGCATACCCAGCTCCTGGTCTACGAACACATTATAGCATTTCCGAAGTCCAGGTCTCGCGTGATTACCGCAATTAGAGGCAACCATAAGCTCCCTGGCCTTAGGACCAGGTTTACCACTCTTGCAAACCGTCTTAAACTCGCGTTTAATCGGGAAAAACACAAACGACACGATCTTTTTGGTGAACTCATTCAAACACTGTTTCAAAAATACGTCCACAAACTCGATGATACGTTGAGCCTGGTTACAAAATTGACGTAATTGACGGGCATTGGTGGGGAACTTTTGGTTTAGTAGTTTGTGCAAGGCAAAGTCTAGTATGGAGTCCGATTGGTTGCCGCACTGGAGTTTGCTAGGGTTGTTCAGTATGGTGGACATGGCCCTGGTATTATCCGTGGACTGTACCGCCTTTGCCAGTTTTTTACCCTCCGGTGCCCGGACGGCATCACTTGGATATACTGTGCGTAATAAAGTTAATTTATTAAACCTTGATGATCATGACAATAAAATATGTAAATTTAGATGTATATTTAGATTAAATATTAAATTCCAAATAAGCGTATTAATTTAAACTGTAATGTTGGACATAATTTTAACCAGTTATAAGTGAAGCGATTAATTATAATTTTTATTGGGCCAGAGTATCAGAAATTTATTTATAAAACTTTTCTAATTTACAACAAATTAATAAAAATAAAAACATCGTTATCTCTATAAAAATTACACATAACAATAGATTAGATATACTTTATTTTAAAAATAAATTAAATTTTATGTTCATTATAAATACTTACATAACGTCATATTTATATTTAAAAATAAATAGTAAATTCAGCATTTTTAAGCATAATAATTTAAACCGTAAAGTTGAAACTAAATTTAATAGTTATTTATAAAAAGCTTAATTATAATATTTATTGGACTAAACAGTTTATTATTTATTAATATTTTTTTAATTTAAAAATAAAATATAAATTGTAATTTATAAAAATTAAAACAATAAATATAATCACACCCACTCTAATATAAGTTTTATTTTTAAGTAGTATTAATATTATATTATAATAATTAATATTAATATTATAATAAATGAATAAATCCTTTTTACTTTATAAAAGTAGATTTAAATTGCAATAGTTAGTTATATATTTTAAATAAATAAATTAAAATAACTTACTTAATGCAACCATATAAAACAGTAAAATAAATGCGAAGTATATTTTATCCATTTTTATTAAAAATATTTTATTATCACAAAAATATTTAGTTATTTCGTAGCATATAATAATTAAATGTTAATTATTTTTAGTGAATACACAAGTAGTCAAACATTAATACAATATAACATTAACCATAAAATTATCAAAACTTTAAATGAACTTTTTTATAGTAAAAATATTTTATTTGCATTCAATACCACACTGTATTACAAAACACGATAATTATATTCACGCATAAAATATGATGCACCTTGATTATATGATTTCAAACATATAATTTTTCAAATTTACATAATAATTATCCAAAAGATTTATGTATTTTATTTAAGTATTGCCGCAAAAAATATTTACTAAAAATTTGAATATTAATTATATTATGAAACAAATTGTCTGAATAATCAATATATTGCACACAAAAAAGTTACACAAAAATTTTATATTACTTTCAAATTCTTGGAAAGTTTATCAATAATAATTAAATATATTTTATGAGTATACTAGCACTATTAATAAAACATAGCACGTATTTTCACAATGAACAAACTGGAAAACTATTTTTAATATAAATGATTTTTTGCACTTAATTTATTAAATAGTTTAAACACAAAGAAATATTTTTTTGGGAACTTTTGTGAAAAAGGGATTTTATTTTTGTTAACAATAATTCACTGGCAAACATAAAGTTTGCAAAATTTTTGCTTGTTGTTTTCTGAATAATAAATTTCTGTATAAATATGTATGTCTAGTTATCAAAAGGTATATTTCAACGTTGCTTTCATATGCTTATAAAATATTGTTTTGTATATGACGTGAAACAAATCAAATCCAGTCTCTCAATTATTTGATCTTATAAGCAATATTTTTGTGCTTTCTACTAAAGTATACTTATACTAATGTAAGATTTTATACCTTAGTCGAAAGCACAGATATATTGCTTATAAGATAAAATATTTGAGAGACTGTATTTGATTAATTTCAATTCATATAGTTATATGAAAGCTAAGTTAAATCTATATATAAGTTAACGCTAAGTATACCTTTTGATTACTCTGTATACATATTCAAAACAAATGTATAAAATATACTTTAATATTATTATAATAGGTATAAAGTCATTTAAAAAGCAGAGTTAATATAGTCGTTTTGTATATTAATAATAACTATTTTAAAAATAATTGTATTTTTAGAAAACACTTTGAGTTTTATGGGGAAAAAGACCGCAAAAATGTTTTATCAGTTATCCTTGAATTGTCAATAAAATCAACATTTTTTTCAGTGTTCACAATATTAGCACATATTAAATGTTTTTAACATTTAAAAATCAATACTCTTTCTATTAGCATTTAATTACTAATATGCCAATGTTATACATTTTATTAGCCAGATAATCTTGATTTAGTTTATTTTTGTGGTTTATAAATAACTTTGTATAAGATAGTAATATAGTAACGCTAATAAATATTTTAATTGTTGGGTAAAGTTATTAATAGTAGTAGTATTTTATTGAAAAAAGGTTTTTGCTATTAAATTTAAATTACAGTATTCCAATACCAGTGAGTTCAATATGTTCAAGGTTGCCTTATTGTTTGTTAAATTTATTGAGTTAAAAGCTAATTAAATTAAAATATTTATAATGTTAAAAAATTAATTAATTAATTATTATACACGGTATGGTGTTATTTACTATTTACTAAAATTAGTTGATTATTTATTTAATTAAAACTTTATATTATGTATGGTTATAACTTATGTATTTTGTATTAAATGAATGAGTTGTTGTTTATTACAGTTTACATTGCATTTACAATAAAAAAGATTTAATTACTTTTAAAATCAATTAAATTACTATTTAAGGTAATTTTTAATTTGGTTAATTATATAATAGAATCACAAACATCGTAGCTGGTTAAATTTACAAAATTAGTAATTAATAATGAAATTATAACCAAATCTAATAAATAAACACTAAACCTACAATATACTGACAATTCCTATGTGATTATGATATTGAGAGTTTACTACAATTCTTAATCTAAATTTAATAAATATAGTTTATAATCACTAGAATATTGTTTATAATCATTTTATTGATTATTAGTGTTATATAAATAACCCAAAGTTACATGGAAAGGTTTATGTACTCTCTCTCTCTCTCTCTCTCTCTCTCTCTGAGAAATTGTTATTTATTTGTTTATTGTTCGTCTGATTTATAACACATATTAGTGTCTTGATCATTGAGTTCAAAAAGTCAGTAGTATGAGCAATTAGTAATGTTATAACTTATAAGTATTAGAAGTATTAGAAAATAAAACTATTTGTAACCCTTGAAACACAGTAACACACTGGTCTAGGGCATCTACGATGCTAATTCATTGTAATCCGGGCCACATTAATACTGACAAAACTGTAAATAATATTGAGTATTGAGACTAATGTTAAAATGTTCAAAGTTGTGTCACTCATAGTGTGGCTCGGAATGGCTGGAGTGTACATTATAGGTCAGACTCGACTAAGGAGTCAATCTAGGAGTCAAACTCTCACACGTTTTTAATATCCTTCAAATGTTTGGCTCACAAATATAGTACACATTATTGTAAGTGAGAGATATAAAGTATTTAATGAAAATTATAAACTGTAATTTTTAAATTAAGTATTTGTTTTAGTGTTTATATGTTAAAACAATTGACTAATTGATAGAAATCTATCCGATTAGTTTCTATTTGTTAAGTTCGTGAATATTTTTAAAACTATATTTCTCTATTAAAAATCAATATAGAAATGTCTAGAAATCACATATTTACAGGTAACCATGAATATAGTAAAAACAGTAATGATATTTGTGTTTGTATAGTACTTTATCTACTGATAATATATATGAAATAAATAAATTATGAGCCACATATTTAAAAAAAACATATTTTAGTTGTCACTGTTATAGGTCTAGATAGTTGTATGAAACAAATTCAAAATCTATAAATACATGCATGTTGCTATAAATAAAAATTATTTATAAAAGAGTTATTGACATCTTTTATAACCAGGTTACATGGGAACCCGATGACCGGGATGGAAATTTCCCCTCTCCATACTAGAAGTCACTATTCCCGGTCCAATTGTAGCTTAAAAATCAGTAATTTTTATTCCGGGAAACTAAAGTCAAGGTTGACAGTCAACCGGGAGGGGGACATGTACCTTAATTCCGGGAGACTTTGGACTTATGAGGGTTATAAATCGGAAGGTTTTGAAATACCTAACCATACCTATGCCGACCATTAAATCTATAAATAGAGTTGTAAGACCATGTGTGCAACCAGTGTGACCAACCGTCCTTTATTGGAAAGGACAGTCCTCTATTTAGGGTGTCTGCCCTCTGTGCTTTAAATTAGAAATAGTAGACATTGAATGTCCTTTATTTGTGAAAATTATAAAATGCTTTATTTAGAAAAATAATTGCAACTTAAAATTGTTATGTAAATTGCATTTCACATTATAATCATAATAAAATACATTACAATTTAACTAAATTTCATTTAATTGCAGCAAATTTATCGGAAAATATATATAAAAAACTAATGACAAAATTAGTCAAAAATTTCTGCTGTTAATGAGATAAACAGTAAAAATATTTTCAAAAAAAATTGTAATTCAATTCCGCTATAAAATATGTTGTCCACTATTTGTCCTCTATTTATTCAATTATTTTAATAAAATGTCCACTAATTACGAAACAAGAGTTGGTCACACTGTGTGCAACTTAAACCATGTAGTGCACCCATATGTTTTTTTTGATGTAGAGTAGTAATTAATTTTGTGCATTTAATTATCACACCGTTGTTTAGTTTAGTAGTGATATTAAAAAATTTAATTCCTATTTTAGTGATAGAGTTATAGAAACCCTTTATAGCAGAGACCTCAAAAGTGTTAAAAAACAAAAAATATGTAGAACATAATTTATTTATTTCATATAGATTATCTGTAGATAAAGCTCTTTACAGACACAAATATCATTACTATTTTTACTGTATTCAAAGTCACCTTTAAATGACAAATTTCTAGACATTTCTATATTGATTTATAGTAGAGAATTATAGTTTTAAAAATAATAACAAACTTAACTAATAGAAACTTATCATATACATTTCTATAAGTTAGTCAATATTTTAGACATAAAAATACTAAAATAAATGCTTTATTTAAAAATTACAGTTTATAATTCAAATTAATATTTTATAACTCTCACTCACACTAATGTTTACTACATTTGTGAGCCAAACAGTTGAAGGATATTAAAAACGTGTAAGAATTAGGCTCCAAGGAGCCTATCTTTGAGGAGTCTGGTATACAGGATAATATACCTAAAATACTTTTTAAGTAATAATAATAAACTGATTAAATTCTATACACAGTATAGTGGTGTATACAAGAATTTATAAATAATTTAGGCATATTAGCATTTGTTTGCATAAATATTATTAACTATAAATTATTAATGAGATAATTTAATTTTTTGCAAAAATGGTAAATTATTTCACTAATTCTATCATCACTTGATTTGTCTTCACTTAATATAATAATTCAGACAACAGTAGCAGAAAATGCTGTACAAACAAAAGGCAAATTTTATTAAATAAAAAGTTTATATTTAAATTAAAGCACAATCTCATTATTTCTCGTAGTATGAAAATGATATTTAAGGCAAAAATAATTAAATTTTTATTCTTTTCTAATTTTCTTTATGAAGATTAAAATAAATCAAAACATTAATGACAAAATTATATAAACTAATTGCATATCTAGAGACTGACTAAATGAAATGTCTTCTCGATTACAATATTAATGACTTTTGAGAAAATAAGTCATTATAAATACTAATTATAACTGAAATCAATAGAAAATTAATTAATTTTAATTATGAGAAACTAAAAAATTGTTGGTAAGGATTTGAAATATGAAGTAATTAATGACTTATTAATTACCTTCGAGACAAATCAATGGTATCATGAAATAAGCGCCGATGGATAGACCCATCCTATCAATTATATCAACTCATTTTGCTGTTGACCATCAAATCCATTACAGAATATTATATAGATATGGAGCACAAGAATATTCTATCGATGTGTCAA